GTATCTGAATACCACAAATTGAATGAATCCTTTATGGGAAGATACAACAAGGATTTAAAGATCTGACTCAAAGATCTACTTTGGAAGATTTCTTTAGTGAGTCAAGGGGTACCTCTTTAGGTTAGATCAGGGCTTCTCAATCTTGACATGGTTGCATGTGTTTCTAAATAATTCTGTGTTGTGGCAGGGTCTATTCTATATAGTTATAGGCTGGCCCTCAACCTTGGTCTTTTCCCATTTTATGCCAACAGCACAGCTCCCCTGTGCTGTTATCCCCAGTTATGAAAAGCAAAAATGTCCCAGAATCGGCCACATGGACTCTTGGTGGTGGTGGAAACAGATTCCAGCTGAAAACCACTGACCTGGGCAAATGTGAAGTTTGTCCTTCATATAATATACTTCTTGATTTCTATATGTTTAGCTTTTTAGTAGAAGGATATTGACTTTTAAAAGGACCTTTGTATAGAAAAATGACTGGCTACCAAAATGTCACAGTTATCTTGAAATTCTGTGTAGCATTTAGGGGATATTAATTTGTGCACTTATTGGAAATTTATTATGATTATTAGTGTATGTGTGTGCATGAATGCACGTGTGTGCAGGTGTGTGTGTGCCACTATGTGTGTGTGTCGTGTGTGTGTGTGTGTGTGTGTGTGTGTGTGTGTGTGTAGGTCACAGGAAACAATTTTCAGACATTGGTTCTCTCCTCTCAGGAGAGACTCAGGTCATCAGGCTTGTATGTCAAGTGCTTTTACTGGTGAGCCATCTTGGTAGCCCAAAACCAATATTTTTTAAAGTTGAGAAATTGAGATTAAAAAAGAAGAAATTATCCAGAAGACTATTTATTTCTATTTTAGCACTGGAAATCTATTCCTGTGAGTACAGAGCACAATATCAACAATGGCAATAATAGCAGTTGCTCCCTGCTGAGAGCTTCTGCTCCAGGTACTCTGCCAAGCATTTAACAGACAATTGTTTACTCAAGACTCACAACTTGGTAGAGAAAAAGGATTATCTCCATCTTACAGAAGAGAAAACTGGCTCAGAAAAGTCAAGCAACTCTCTCAAGCTACCCACTGTAGTTACATAAATTTTGTTTAACACCTTTTAGTGAGTTTTTAAAATTTCAAGTATTTAACGTACTAAATAATCAATTTGTGATTTTAAAAAACATATTAGCATACTATTTATACTGATCTTAAAAGAAAAGGATAATTTGTATTTAATGCTGTGAGGACTGACTCCATACACACATATTATACATACTATACATTATATATGTGTGTGCATGTATTTGATAAAGTAAAGAGAAGATAGATTACAGTCTTGAAACCTGGGTAGCTTGTTGTACCTTGAGGAACTTGTTAAAAGGCTTTTCTCAGCCTATTAAAACAATCTGTGAAACTATGGAGCAATGTAAGGGTGAAATGTAGAATAATAAATTCCTGACATGGAACATTCATCCCATCTACTATGAGCTTTATGTAATTCCACTCAACTTTCTCCTGTTCAGGTTTATTTATTAAAGAAAATTCTTAATGTAGTGACAGGACACTAGAAGAGTATGCAAAATAAATCTATGGGCAAAATCAGAAACCGAACCCAAAGAAAGAATGTCAAATTTCATCTCTAACAAGCCAGGTGTGTTTACAAGTGCACGTGCCAGTGGACTTTCTTGAAACACTTGTTACTTATCTGATAATGTGGTAATGTGAATCTCAGTGGCTAAACATCTCAGTGGCTAAACATCTCAGTAGAAACTATGGCAAAGCACACTGGGTAATCAGTGTGCCTGAAAGCCGACATTTCTACTCATGTCTAGCGAAAGGAAAACTGAAAATGGTGCATTTCCGGTCATTTGGGCGTATTCATTTTTAAATTCTGAGTGATTTCCAGAGCATGCTTGGTAGACCACCCCAAACAGGGTCTTCTAGTGAACTACAAGAAACATAACTCTTCCAGATCTATATTACACATTAAACTCTCCCAGTTCTGTGGAAATGTAGTAACAAGCATCAGGGAAGCCAAATAATCCAGCTGCTGCTACTGCCACGGACAGGAAATGGCCCCATTCTTTCTAGGACTGGTGGGGTTCACATGCATAATAGCTATCTCACTTTCTCAGCCTAAACAAGAAATGAGATTGTTTCTTTCTAGGCTAATCAAAGTGAATGTTAATCTTCTCCAGTGATTTGAATGCACTTGTGTGTGCAGCATACACGTCCTACAGCAAAAACCCTAACTCTGTCCAATTTGAATTCTTCTCACATTCACCCCAGCCTTTAGAGGCTCCTCAATATTTCTCATTGAGACCTTAAGGCTAAGCAGACTCTGGTCTGACATAGAGGGAATGATACCAGCTGGCTTCACCCTGGTTGTATGACATCCCCTCTATCCCCCTGGTTTCTCATCTACATCATCCATGAGAATTCATAATACCTCAATGTCATGCTTGCCACAAGGATTAGACGTTATACATGTACCTTGGTGTACACGCTTGGTAAGTAACAATAGTAATCAATGAAGACTGTCTTAATCTCATTAATCTGGTTTAAACAGTAGTCCCAGTGTATCTAGGTAAAGTCCTAGTAATGGGATATTAGCATAATTTTTATCCTACTACCAATCACCTTTTTGCTCAGTAATGAATGAAACACTGCTCAATATAAACTTCTAGTTTATTGGTTTGAAAATTGAAATCTATGTTTGAAAATGGACATTTACTCTATCAGAAAAGAAGGATTACAGACTATGGGTCACCTAATAGGCTGTTCCTGTACCACAATTCTAGTTTTCTTGATGAGGAATTTCTCCTTTCTACAATTTCCCATGGGCTGCTTGGTTGGTAGGTATAATGCTCGGTGCATTACCCCCTGAGGCTTGGCTCATGCTCTGAAATCACTAATATTACGCATTTTAATTACAAAAGCCAAGTTGGAACATCAACATCATGAGTTCTTTTTAAAAACTGAAAACATATCTTCTTTATGAGATTTAAAATAGTTAACTGTAAATAAGACAGGAGTATTGAATTCTGATGGAGCATTTCTCAAATAGCTGCCAGTAACTTAGTGTTTACTGACAGGCTACTCTGATAAACCATCTAAGCTTCATAAATGAAAGAAAATTAAAACAAATATAACTACCATCTAGTATAGTTCAATCACCTTAATATGCAGATGAAGTGGTAAGACAGAGTGTCTGCTTGCCGAGACTGACTCCATAGTTACAAGGACCTTTTCAATAAAGACATATTTCTCTAAAGCAGCAAGGTACAACTTTGGAACAAGGTTCACAGTGATGTGACTGAAATTTAGGCTCCAGCACTATGTTAGCATGGTTTTCTTCCTCTCTAGGAGTCAGCAGTTCAGTGCCCAGACCCAACTCTTTAAATACCCAAAAGTAACCTCTGGTTCCATGTCCATATGAAAGGTATTCAGGTCTCCAGTTGATCTTCTTGACCCATTCATTCTGATGTTCCTAGGAGTGGCCCAGCTCTACAGCAAGACCTGATAAAGGGACAGAGGCCTGCATGTGTGTTGCCATGGCTACTGTCCTTCCTTTGCAAGTGTGATGTCATCTTTTGACTTGGGGTTGCAAAGGAAGGGGGCCAGTGTGGGATGGGGTGGTGGTTCTCATTTTTCCACTGTCAGCAGTGAAGGTTCTTGTCATAGCTGTTTAATTGATAGCAGGACCTCAGGCAGATTTCCGTCAATAGCATTTGGACTATTATGTCTGAAAAGTCCCTTCTACCTTAGAATTCTGGTGAGCTCATAATTTTAGTTGGTGGAGAAAGGTTGTCACTTACCTAGGTTAAACATACATGTGATGTATAATGTATAATATTTTGACTGAAGCAAAGATGTTATACTGTGTAGCCTTATGTGGCTCAGCTGAACAGTGTCAAAGGTGACACAACAGCCAGGGGCACATCTCAGGCAGCCTTTACCACTGGGAACATATGTGAATCAGAAATCTACAACTGCAAGAAACTCCTAAGGAGATGTAAGGCAGCTAGCTCTCTCCTTTTGCAGAGCAATTAAGATAAAATGAAGGAAACAGATTAAACAATGTAGGCTTTTCCTGCAGCAGAAACGCTTCTGGGGATTGTCTATCCATTAAAGGGTTAAGGGGGGGGGCAATGTAAAGGAAAGGAAGGGGGGCTGCTTCTGAACAATGGTGTGTCATCCCCTCCCCTTCCACAGCAATGCCCTACCTCATCACAGTCAAGAAGCTAAAGAAAGCAGATCAATTCCTTCCTTCAGGTCAACCAGAGCAGGCTTGGGTTTTCACAGTTAACTTCTCACATGTAAAACAAAAGTGCACTGATTCCCAGGGCCTCAAATCTGTCTCTAGCTGGAGTTTTCCCTAAGGAAGCTCAAGGTTTAGGAAAAGGTTTAGGAAACTCATTCATTAAAAAACTAGAATCTTCCTAATTGCCCCACATTCCCATGCTCCTCCTTACTGCCTCCTTGCTCCCTCTCCCTCCCTTGGCCTCAACCTGGAAACTTCAGCCAGGTCTCCACTAGCACAGAATGGATCCCTGTGGGTAGCTGAGAATTTGCATAGATACTTTTAAAAGAAGTTAGTCATTAAATCCACAGTGGATGAGTTAAACTGACATTTAATGATAAGTAACTGCTCCATCGTTTATTTGAGTCACTTCCAGGAGAGTAAACAAAACTTATAAATACAACATACACTTATGGGAAATTCTTCTTCTATTGCATCTATGTTTTGAATGCATTAGAGTCTAACCTTCCAAGAGGTCTTACAAAAGACTTCAAGGTTTGCCTTTTGTCTTCTGAGTGAATGAGTGGAAAAAATGAATTAATTACTCCTTTGAATCCTTAAGGGTATATATTCTCTCTTATACCTTTGAACAAAACAAGACAAACGCCATCTTTAATGGACTTGCATGAAAACAACTGACATTAAGGGTGCTGGCTCTCAAGCTCCTGTTTATAATTTATGACATTAGACACAACTTTGAAGCCTACCTCCTCCTCTCTCCTCATTGTCGTCTTCTTTCAGCAGCTTGCCAGCAGAATTATACCACTTAAACTGTGGGTCGGGGATGCCATAAACACTGCAATTAATCAAGGCACTGTTCCCCTCCTTGACTATGATATGGTCAGTTCTGGCAATGATTACAGGCACAGAGCCCAAGACCACATCAGTGCCATTTAAAGTGCTGTTAGCAGCACTCTTAGCAGTTGCTAGAGTAGCTGCTAGGATTACGAAGGGCACAGAAGGTAGGAAGCACTCGGTCAGATGGCTCTTTAACAGGTCCATCTTCTTTGCTCGCTCTGTAAGGCAAGAGATGGTTTGCCGATGGAATCGTCTATCAGACAACACAGTATTCAGAGCAGGCCACAGGACAAACCTGTCCTGGATCCATGGAGTTGGTATGTGATTAAAAACCTGTTAAAAAAGAAAAAGAAAAACTATATACATGCAAATAATAGCACTGATACTCAAAAATACTATTTATAAAAAGTTAACACTCCAGCTAAAATATAAACCTATAACATTCTTAGACAAAACATGTATTCAGGTGTTCCAATGTTAATTTATATAACAAATCATAACCATATACATTTTTTGTATTAAAACATAGTAAGAACAAACACATTTCTTATATTAAATCACCTTCTTTTTTTTGAGGCAGGATCTCATGTATCCAGTTTGGAAGTGAACTGGCTACGTAGCTGAGGAATAGACTTGAACTCCTGATCCTCTAGCCTCCACTTCCTAAGTGCTGGGATTACAGGTGTGTACCATCACACGTGGCTGTTATCCTACTGCTTAAAGTGCAAATACTGTGATTTGGGCTTTTTATTTAGCATTTATTACAAGGTCCCTTCCTACCCCATCACCTCCTGTTTTCATTGTGTTCCCAGTAGAGGTGTTTTTAACCTTTTCCTTTCCAGGAAACATGACTTTGGTGTATTTCACTAGTACCAGGCTGGGCTCTACCAGCATTTAGAAGCACTCCCCTAGAATCATTCTAGTGCTCTCATGACTCCGCAATATGGCTTCCAGGATACACACTTCCCTTACCGCATGCAAGTCCCCCATCCCTATGTGGATTCTCCAACTCCTCTGTTACTGTTACCTACTGAGTACTGAGCCCCCTGGTTTTGATCTTCATCTACCTTCCCGAGGCTGAGTGATATCAGGCTGTATGGAATGACATGATGGGTGTCTGTACTTCTGTGTTCAAAGATCTAAGGTTTGTTCCTCTAGCCCCAATTTCATCCACTCCTATAGCCATATCCGGTGACTTCATTCTAAATTCTGAAGTTCCAAGTAATTCTGAGGTTCTAAATAAACCACCTTAACTGCAGTCTACCATTCTTTCAGGTCTCTCCCTCGCCTCACTGCACTTTTCTGTTGTTCACAATCTCTCCACACGTGACTTCCACACTCTATTTATGATTCATTCAGACCTGATTACATTGACTACAGTCCCCAATCTTTCCCCTTTGTCCTCGCCACAGGTTTACTCAGCTAGTAGGTGACTTTGATCAAGCCAAATGTTTGTCATCTTGGCCTCTACATCCAGGAGGCAGAGAGCTACTTGGGAAGAATTGCTGAACCATATAATTACTATGATAATGAAGGAGAAGTTTCCAGCCCTTGCCAGGCCCTTGGTGGCCAGTAGGTGACTTTGATCAAGCCAAATGTTTGTCATCTTGGCCTCTACATCCAAGAGGCAGAGAGCTACTTGGGAAGAATTGCTGAACTAATTACTATGATAACGAAGGAGAAGTTTCCAGCCCTTGCCAGGCCCTTGGTGGCATCTGGCAATCTGTTTACCAGTATTCACTTGGTTCAGTATCCTCTTTCCATAATGCTTATAAGACATCTTCAGCTTGAGAACCAAGTGTCTTAGCCCAGAGGTGCCTACCTTCTCAAAACAACAGAGACCACCTTTCTTTTACTTTTTACCAAGGCCTGCGGATCATGAATCCTGTCTATCCACTGTTCAACCTTTGGAAAGCATTCTGCATCTGATGCTGAGTTCCTTACTTGCCATTTCTTCTCCAAAGTACCATTTTCTATATTATACTTGTTTTTTCTTGAAATAGCTCTTGCTCAGTACACCAATCTCTCCTTGTTGTGAAGCTGCATTCCTCTTTGGAACCATTACAGCAGTTGGCATTACTAACTATTCTTTCTCAAGATTCTCTTCCTGTGAGTTGCACGTTTAGTTGTTTCTGGTTGCTTTTTTTTTTTCCTTTAAATTTTGAGACAGGGTCTCACTATGCAACCCAGGCTGGCCATGAACTTTCAGTCCTCCTGCTTCTACTTCCCAGTGCTTAGAATCTAGAGATGAGGCTCCATTCCCACACCTGCTCTCTTTACTCCCATCTCCTTACTAGTTAACGCTAGTCAACTGAAATCCAGTTAACTTCCAGTGTTCACCATTCACCCCCATTCTTCCTTTAATTTATAGCTCTTTCTAAGGTTTTATCCAATGCCTTTTAGTCCCACCCAAAGCCTGCTAAGTCCAAGGTGCTTTCTTTAGTCCTCCTTTGTGGTCAGTATTGCCAACTTCCCACTGGACATCTTCGTCTGGATAGTTTGTAGACACTTCAAACTTAACATTCCAGAGGCAAACACATTATCTCTTACATGTTATATGTTGTATTTCTTGGATCCTTCATCTCCATTCAGGGTGCCACTATCTTTTTTAAAAATTATTTTATTTTTATTTCATGTGTATGAGTGTATTGCCTGCATGTATGTAAGTGCACCCATGTTGTGCGATACCACAGAAGTCAAAAGAGGGCATCAGTTCCCCTGGAACTGTAGTTAGGATGGTTGTTAGCTGCCATGTGGGTGCTGGGAATTGGAACCCAGGTCCTCTGCAAGAGCAGCCAGTGCTCTTAACCACTGAGCCATCTCTCCAGCCCTGGGTATTCTTTTTATAAATTTTTTTTGAATTTTTGTGATTTTCATACAATTTTATGGTATTTAGATCCCCTCCCCCATCTGCACCTCCCACCACTGCACCTCCCAATTTAATGTACTCTATTATATATACAATATGGCCTAGATAGTCTTATTTGTATACCCACATATCCCTCAGCATGGGTTTGTCCACTGTAGCCTGGTCAACCTACCAAGTATCCCAACTCTGAAAGAGACTGTCTCTTCCCCTCCCAGAAACCATCAGTTGCCAAAAGTTCCTTAGGTTGAGTTGGGATTTCTTATTCACTTTCCCATGCCTATGCTGGGAGCATCAGTAAATACATGTTCCTGATTTAACTTGTATAATATTGGTTGCATACATTCAATTCTTGACTCTGCCTCTTATGAGAAACTATATGACAGTGAGTCTCAATTCAGACTTCACTATCTTCTTACCAGACTTTTGTTGTAGCTTTTTGCATGATCTGCATGATCTGCTTGATCTTATTCTTTCTCTAGTTCCCCATCTAATGTCTATAACCACTGGGAGAGTCACCACTCCACAACCTAAATCAGACAGAGCCATTCCTTTATCTGCTTCTCCACTTTCTGTACTACAAAAAATTAAATTTCCTACCTTTCATTCATTCAAAAATATTTATTGAACATTGACTATTGGGTATCCACTATTCTCAGTTTTAGAGATGCAAAAGTAGGCAATGTTATGTGAAGCTTTGAGTATCATGGGGAAGAAGCATAAAATAATACATGTGTAGATAAGAATGCCGGCCGGAGATGCATGTTTTGAAAACTGCACTGTGATGTGCTTGGTGCTGAGTTAGGCAGTTAGGGAGGACCTCACTGAGAGGGTAACACCTGAGCCAGGACCAGAAACATCAAGACCTGAGGCAAGAGAGCTCCTGGAAAAAGGAACAGGAAAAGCAGGATCTTGAATGAGGAGGACCCAAAGGAGGGAAGCAGACAGGCCCCAGCCTTGGAGGGGCTTTGGAGGCCAGAGTAAGGAGCTGGAGCCTAATGCCCCTTTAAAAAAATATTATGCAAGGGAGGCACAGGATGTGGCTTCTCAAAACAAAACAAAACAAAAAAACAACCTCACTGTGGTGCAATATATGTGTATATATTATATATACACTCGTTTTAGGTACATACTTTAATGAGTTCTGAAAAACTTATATGCCTATGCAACTGTCATAGTAAACAAGACTTAGAACATTTTTCTCACCAAAAGTCCCTTTGCACACCTTTCCCAGTTTTAGAATTCATGATGATCCAGTTCGATTAATTCTGAATATGCTCCCAAAGAGTTAAGGTTCACCCTCCCTCAAATTTAGTTATCCAGTTGTTTTAGCACCATCTGTAGAGAAGACTGTCCTTTCTCTAATGGTCTACCTTCCCCTCTTGTCAAAACAATCATATGTGGGTGGGTCTATTTCTGGACTTTTTATTCTGGTCCACTGATGTTGACATCTATCTTTATGTCAATGCCATACTGGACATATGGTCAGCTTCATTCATCTACAGTGTCTTCTGAGTTTAACCCTGACACATAGGATGCTCAGTAAATTTGTCTGGTGAATGAACAGAGATCTCTCCAAGGGTAGGAATTAAAATACAATCAATAGAAAGAGGTAACTAGTGAAAAGAGTGTCAGACCACATATTTCTTTGGTAGGAAAGAAGAGTTTTCTCCACACTTCCCTTGGGATCTCAGCACCTTCCTGTCCCAGTGAAGTCAGCACACTCCCCACAGCACAAACCCTATGGCTAAGGGAGATAGGACAAGCTGTGAGGCATGATAGACCCTGCTATGACTCTGGATATTTCTTCACTTAACTGAACTTGTGGTTTCCTTTCATCAGGGTGGTTGTAAGTTGACTTGTTCAAGGCAACAGTTTCCAGGGGCATGGCTTCATGGTTTAAGTAGATTGGGCCAGGAGCCTGGTTCTAACCAGTTTTATTGGTTGTGTGTTTTTTGTCATGTACTTACCTAGCATAAGACACCTATTGACGAACAAGACTATTGGTTCCTTGTACAAGTATTCCTTATTGAATTCTAAAGGATTTTTTGAGTCTGTTTTTAAGTTATGCTATTTAAAAAAAGCTATCTTGGTTTTGCTTAATGCCTAATTGATGACCATCCCATCACCAGAAAGTATTGCAGTGACATCCAGCCCAGGTCCTTTGTAAGGACTGGAGTCTGAGAATACCGAAGCTGCCCTCTGCACGCATACTGCAGTGAGTGTGCTGAGGGCAAGAGCTGGGTTCTCTCATTTTTTATTTTTTTTACTTCCTGATGCCTAGTCCAGAGCCAATACCCTTAGGCTAAGGGCAAAATAAAGTGGAAGACAGGTCTTTTTAAAAAATATTTTTATCAATTTGAGAATTTCATACAACTCATTTTGATCATGGCTGGACCCCTCCCTCGTTTCTACCCCCACCTTACCACCTTCCTTCTGAACTACATGTTATTATTATTTGTCCTTT